TATATATATATATATATATATATATTGTATAAAGTTGTATAAAAAGTCATGTAGAAACAATTTTCACTCAAAAATTGCTATTTGATTTTACAAGTAATTATAAACAATTGCTTAAAAGTTTTTCAAATTTTGAAGTAGAAAGACTGAAATAGTATTTTCTTTTAAAATATACTACAATAAAATAAAATAATCTTTTTGTATTGGAGTACATTTTACAATAAAATATTATTTCCGTTTTTCTACTTCAAAATGTCATTTAATTTAATGTGTAACTTGCAGAGTCTTTGCAATTGTGAAATTTCCGAGTGAAAATTGTTTCTACACAATTGTTTTTTTGTGTATTTACACCAAGAGTTAGAGTAAAGTGTTTATAAAATGAAGTTAGAATATTGTAAGTCACACAAGGATGTCAACTTTTCCAATGTATTTAATGTCTCATAATATGCATGAGGCACTGCAAACACGCAGTGAAATGTGCAGTTCGACTGCTGGATATGTGGAGTCAGGCCTGCAGCAGCTGTGCTGGAGCTCCGCTCACTGATGTGTGTTAATGCTGTCTGTGTTAGTCACTGTCGCCCAGCAACACACCTGTCAGGACGGCCAAGAGTTTACCTGAGCTTCCTTCACAGCACACATGAAATACAGAGCGGACAAATGCTCTCAAAGAGCCCTTTCTGAATGTTTGTCCTCTACAAGGTGTGCTTTAATCTCATTTCATGATTTGCAGCCAGAAAAAAAAAATAAATGTAAAAAATCCCTAAAGCAAAAAGAAAACACCCATCGGTGGGCAAATGCATATATACATATACATATATATATCTTCAGTAGTTTTGAAGCAAGGTGAACAAAACACCCATTTAGTTCCTCTGAACTCAAGAATCCTTATATGTTGATTCATGCTCTTTCATTTGACTAAACACAGAACAGAGATTAAATAAAGTTGTGCAAATTATTTGTAATTGTTTGCTAAAAAATAATTTTATCTATATAGAATAAGGCCTGTATTTTATTATCGAAATGATCTTCTTTAAAAGCATTTATTACTAAATGACAGTGAGTGCTAATTATGTAAAAACATGATATCTATCTATCTATATATGTGTGTGTGTGTGTCTACAGGAAATATGGACCTTTTTTTTTTTGCTGGCTCAAGATGTAATCATCATGTATTGCTTGATTCAACACGGCAGATTTCACCGCTCTTTATTTATTTTAAGCAGATTAAGTATATTATATTATATATATATATATATATATATATATATATATACCAGCAGTATATTGTTCATGTGTGATGTTATTGCACTGTAGGTACTTAAGTTTTCGTTGGAATTTATGGTTTAAAATGTTAGTGAATAGATTACAGTCTGTTTTTTTTTTTGTATTTTATTAATTTTTCCAATTCATTTTTAGTTTAAATCTATTGCCTTGAAAGATGCTGTAATTTGACACAAAAATGAACTGACAAAAATGTTTCAAAAATAAAACGCATAAACATTTAAAAATAAAAACCATGTAGCCTTTCAATGAATGAACATCTTTGCAATCATTTATTAATTTCTCAAGTGAGTATGACATATCATATTAAACATGAATAATGATCAAATTAGTGTGGATATATTTGTTATTTCAAGATCTTTTTCACCTGAGTTCTCCAAGGTCTCGCTGGAGGAACAATGTCAAGATTAAAAGCAAATGCAGAACCAATTTCGAAATATATTATTCTAAACGGTTTTGCTGCAATATGAAAACAAATGAACATATTTGTCATTATATGTTTAGAAACAGTGGCGCATGAAGGAAACAATGTCATTTACTTTGGATGCAGAACTGAAAATTATAAATAAACACACACACACACTGTGATATTTTAAAACAAAAGGCATTTTTCATTCACATAATAAATAAATTTTGCAATACCTTTTTGCAACTTTTGCATCATTTTATTTGGTGTGGGTGGGAGGCGGGGGTGAATTTTGCATATGTACATCATAAATATTTTATTTTTTTCAGAGTTTCTCTCATTCAGAGAAAAACAGCTTTCCAAACAGAGCCAGTTTTTTTTTTTTTTTCTAAATACATGAAGAAGTAGTGAGGTACAGGGTAGAGTCTGTCAGAAAAGTCCCCCTTTAACGTCCATATCAGACTTTGGACTCCTCCGGTGTGGAACCTCAAAGCCCTCCAGCACCACAGCAGTCAATCACTCTTCGGGCCAAAAACACATATCCACACCTTCTAATCGAACCAGCGCAAGAGTCATCATTTAGTTCATTCCTATTATTGTTCCATTTGTTTGAAGAAAATCAGATGTTTCATAATTGCATAATCTCAGTTTTCATTTTAAAAGCTGACATGTTGCCGAAGGACAAAAATGCTTATATATTTTAAATCATTTGTTCAAGTCACACAACACAATAATGGGCTCAACCAATTTCTTGTTTAAGAAAATAAAAGTTTCAAATTGAATCATTAAGCCTTTGACTTATGAGACTAAATTGGGTCCAAACACAGATGGACAGCATATGCAACTACAAGAAGTATCCCAGTACACAAATGAGCTAAGATTGAATCCTACAATAGCCTTAAACAATTACTGAAACAATAATAAATTAATGCTGCATTTTGCATTAGACTTAGTTGTTACTCTCTGGTACATCAGCATGCTCCTTCAGTTTTACTTGTAATAATAAATTTTATTTTTCCCAATGCCACAGATGGACTGGTTAAAATCAGGCTACTGCTGTGTCTCAAGTATAGAGGGTAAATGACAAAAAACCTGGATGGAATTTGAGGCCGTGAATGTAGAATTGTTGCATCAAAAATGAAAGAAATGGAAAAAAAAAAAACAAACTATTGAACAAGAAATAAAAAATCCCACAAATTCAATTCACGTGTAGCTTATTGTGTCGCTTAAGTATTGTGATCCAACAATTCAGTAACCCAAATGCAAATGTGAAAATAAAAATGTTTTAAATTAAATACTGTTTTTCTGTTTAGATTTTTGAAACATTGATGTGCTGTTATGAGATCATGTAATTCATGTTTCTCATTAATTCTCCTACTTTCAGAAATGATTTGGACAATCCCCATTCATTCAAGCATTTGCAGCTTATAATAGTGACAAACAAACCCTTTCATGGAATCCCTCATCTGTGATGAACTGAATGTCCCTTTCAAAGATATCTAGAACTCACATCCCTTAAAGGGTTAGTTCACCCAAAAATGAAAATTCTGTCATTAATTACTCACCCTCATGTCGTTTCAAACCCGTAAATTTAATACACTGCAAAAGTGTACTTAATCAGTATGTTTGTCTTGTTTTCTAGCAAAAATATCTAAGCATCCTTTAAATAAGATCAATTTACTTATACAAAATTGCATAATATAAGATTTGTTTACTTTCTATTGGCTTTTTTTTTTCTTCTTCAGCATAAACCTCAGTATTTAAAAGAAAAAAGAAAGAAAAAATCATAATATCTTAAGCAATTTTGCTTCTTAAGTAAATGTTTTGTTTTATGGATGCTTACTTTTTTACTAGAAAACAAGTATTTGTAGAATGTGTAGGAACAAGAACATATCAATTCAAATCAAAAATTCTAGGCTAGCTTGAGTGAGAGGGTGAAGCGCTGAGTGGCGGCTCGTGATTTGATAAGCATCAGCTGCCGTTGGTGATAATGACGGAGGTGCCTTTATGGCCCGGGGCTTGTTCAGCCTGCATGCGCAGATGAGTGGCCATGTCGTAATGGGAGGAACCTGAGCAACCCAGGGAGTATCCTCTAAAGCTGTCTGCCTCGTACAGATGTTCTAGTGCGTAGCTGGTGAGCGAGTAGGCTGTGTGTTTTTCCAGGTACTGGCGGGGGTGTGAGGGGTATAGAGCTGGAGTCGGTGAGACAGCACATGTGCCCGTCAGGGGCAGAGGCTGCTGGTGTTGCTGAGAAGAGGAGAGCTCGCTTTGCAGGAAGTCTTTACTTTTACCCAGTCTGTCAGGGATGGGGCTGCTGAGACGGGACAGAGGAACAGGACTAGGGGCGGGGCTTATAACCTGAGCCAGCCCCCGACACACCACACTCTGCAATGCTGACTGGGAAAAGTCGGTACTGTGAAACGAGGAGCCGTGACTCTTTGCCAGACCGTTTGTAGAGTCCAAAGGTATTTCTGTAGGAGCCTTTCTCAACTGCAGACGACTTTCCTCCTCTTTGATCATCTGTTGCGTGGCTCGAATCAACGTCTCAATCTTGCTGGGCTCTTGAGGACTTGCACGGCATTGGTCACCGTGGTATCGGTCACCTGAATCGTTCGTGTCAGGTGAGCTGACCATGCTGTCCTCGTCCCAGTGACCCCTCACTGCAAGTGGGAGAAAACAGTGTTACTGTGAGGAATTTACCACAGTTCAAGGAACAAAAACAAGCAAGGTTTTTCTTTGGATAAAGTCAAGGGCTTAATATACCAGAACAGCACATTTGTAAAATACTGTCTACAGCAGGGATCTCCAACCCTGGTTCTGGAGAGCTATCGTCCTGCAGGTTTCAGCTCCAACCCCAATCAAACACACCTGAACCAGCTAATCAAGATGTTACTTGAAAAGTACAGGCAGGTGTGTTAATGCAGGATTGGAACTGAAGTCTACTGGAAAGTAGCTCTCCAGGAGCAGGGCTGTAGACAGACAGATGAGTGGAGAATCATTATTTAATGGGTTTCTGTAGGGAAGTTTTTATTTTAAATATTTCTCGTTTGCAAGAGCTATTATTTATTACCAAATGAGAAATTTAGTTCTTCTAGGTCAGGGGTAGGCAAGTTCGATCCTAGAGAGCCGCAGTCCTGCAGAGCTCAGCTCCAACCCTAATTAAACACACCTGAACAAGCTAATCAATGTCTTCAGGATTACTAAGGCTATAGGCAGGTGAGTTTTTTTTTTCAGGGTTGGAGCTGAACTCTGCAGGACTGCGGCTCTCTAGGACCGAACTTGCCTACCCCTGTTCTAGGTCCTTGTTTTCGTGCGTTTTTCAGAATGCTCCTGCCTGTAAACTTTTACTTTGCTCTAACCTGGTTTGAGGAGGCCGTGGAAGGCCAAAACATATAGTTTCTGCTCAGAACAAACCAAAATGAAAAACATTTGATTTCTAACAATAGATCCACTGAAAGAAACACACCTTGCAGGCTATGGATAGAGGTGATGTGGGGCATCACATCTTCAAAACTGTCCCCGTTCTCGGACGAAGACTTGGGCAATGGGAGAACAGAGCGGGCTGCACCCCACCATGCCTCTCGTCCAGGCTGAGGGGTGCCAAGGAAGTATCGGCCAGCCTTACAGCGACCACTCTCACAGGACTCGGAGTGAGTGTGGCCGTAGAGGTCACTGGAGGTATGATGGTCATCTGTCAGCGGTAGGCTGTAGCACAGCGGCCGTGGTTCCGGGAACTGCCGGTACACGCATGAGGAGTCTATGCCTTCACACTGCTCCAGAAGCTGAGGAGATGCAGAGTCAGTGAGTGGGCTTCCTCCCCACGGGCTATCCTGATCTGACTCTGAGCGATCTGTGGGGAAACTCGGATACTGCACAAAAGAAACAAATATGCATTAATACAGTGTTTCCTAACCATGCTCCTGGAAGCACGCCAACAGTACACACGTTGGATGTCTCTCTTATCTGATCCACCCATTTCATGACTTGGAGTTTCTGCTAATGTGCTGATTCTGGTGTATTTGATTAGGAAGAGTCTGAAAATATGTAGTGTTGGGGTGCCTCCAGTAACACAATTGCCCAACGTGTCCAACAGGATTGTCCAAACTTATAACTTTATCACTGAGGGCAAAGCTGATACTGTGCACAGTGTGATTTACACACATAGAACATGATGCTGGATCAACATCCAACATTCCTATCATCCAATCCGAGTCCTACATATATCCTTCAACCTTCCCTCAAACCTACCCTTAAAATGATAGCGCAATGATTGCATGTTGTTCCAGCCCTTAACCCTATCCCTAACCCAACACCTAAATTTAGAAGGCAATGGTTAGTTTATGGAAATGTTACTTAAGGAATGACTAGGCATGTCCTAGTTGTGTAAATCACATTAGAAGTCTTCCCAGCAACAGAAGACCTTCCTAGAGTTCCCAATATACCATTACCAGCCAAATGGAAGGCATTACTGTGATACTGACCTGTGAATAGGGAGAGAGTCTTGTTTTGGTCTTGGTACGGGAGACTCTGCTTTTGCCAACTCTTCTGTTCTCACTGATGGGGTTAGAGGGGCTGTTGTAGGTGAACGAGGGTTTAGCGGACGTCACCTGATCTAAGGACAACTGTAGTCCTTTGTACTCCGTGTTCCTGTTGGGGAATGACAGCAACATTTAGCCTCGAACCCAATAGTGTGTGCAACTTCATGGTTTGCGACTGCTTGTCTCGGTATTACTGTTTACCGGTGCATTTTTCCTTTTTAGTTTACCAATCAGAGAAATGTATGGTCAGGCATTTTTTGATACTTCAGGCTCCATGCTCATTTGTGAAGCAGTGTGTGAGGAAGACTCAAGGACAGAAAATTAATTGCATTGTTTCTCCTGCAGGATTGGAACAAGGCTCCTACAAACATACGGCAGAGGGCTAGAGGCTCTGTTCAAATACACAGTGAGATTAAGAGCTATGTCTGGCTAAATCAAACCCACACAGGGATCACCACATAAGGCATAACTAGGAAATGGGAATTGATTTCTCAGTAAAGTGGTGTATGGATTTCTGTTCCCAGTGATGTATAACTTTCAGAAAACGATGGCTGGAGCGTATGCTAGCCAGGCGCCAATGCCAGCTTCCCTTCTGAGGCCTAGCAGTCTGGCTCAGACAGCACGCAGACTAATGGGAGTGCATGCAGATGGCAACATCTTGGAAAAAGACCGACATACACTTTCTCACATGCACCCGCACAAATGCACTCGCAGATCCATGCGATCTCATGAAGTTGACACCGTTGTTGTACGCTCTATGTAAACAAAGAGTTTTCCCGAGGTCAGGGCCTGTAGAAAGAAACCAAGACCCTTAAGGTGCAACAGGTTGGCTGGTGTGAGTGGTTTAGCGCATACACACAATCTCATTCAGCTGAGCTGCCATTCTCACACACACACCATCTCATTTCACACCTCACAGCCCGTGTGAGTAGACTCTGATAACACCTCGATAAGACGCCAGACATATCCACCTCGCTTCCTTTTCTCACTAAAGACTAGCTGTGCATTTCTGAATGAGAGCACATGTGGAGAGGTTAAACAGGAAACAGATCTCGCACTCATGATGTCTACACTGCAACGCACGCTTTTATGGAAATCATTCTTCTCAAGGAAACTGAATCATGGATGATGGCAGGGAATATCACAAAAAAAAAGAAGAACTTCATGGACACTCTTAGCAAGCTGTGAGCTATAAACACTCATCATCTTTACAACCTACTAATTAAACCTCATGCGCACAAATGCTGCTTTTCACTCTTCCATACGTCCCTCGCGTGAGCGATGGCTCCATTGCTCAATCCTACCTCATTCTTTCCAGAGAGTTCCAGTGGAAATGTTCATTGTGGTAATGCACGGAGTTTGTCAGTATGAATGCATGACAAATAAATCATCCACGACCCCTGGCTCCCATGCAGTTCCTGTGCATGCAGCTGGCATATTATATAAAGCAAGAACAGGAATGACACCCCAAACTGTCTGATGAGCATCAGGGCAGCTTTAACACGCTCAGTCACTGTCATGGGTGGACTTGCAAACACCATAAATTTGAACCTTAATGATATTGTATTGAACCTATTGCTAGTTGTAAGTCACTAAGAGGGGCCTTTTAGCGGAGTAATAGTGGAATAATGTGGGCAATTCAACACAACTGTAGACAGAAGCTTTAAGAAATTATATGGCTTACTACACTTTTGCCTAATACACTGCATGCATGTTAGTCATGTACAAATGGATTCAAGTTTGTGTATGCATTATTGCATTATTGAACAATTTGAGGGTATAGCTGAAGTGGTAACACATTTTTTTAAGAACCAATTCTCACAATTAACTAGTTGCTTATTAGCATGCATATTATTAGCATATTGGCTGTATATTAAATAATTAAATTAATATTTATTTTTAAAATGTGTATAAGTAGTATTTATAAAGTTTTAGCTTTTAGTTTTGGATCTGTTTTTAGTTGTTTTAATACTACAATTGATTGCTTCTGTTGTCCTCATTTGTAAGTTGCTTTGGATAAAAGCGTATGCTAAATGACAAAAATAAATAAATAAATAAAAATAAAAAATAAAAAATAAAAATATATATATATATATATATTAGTACTTATAAAGCACATATTAATGCCTTTTTCTGCATGACAATATTTTAGATCCCTTAATCCTACCCCACACCTAAACTTAACACCTTACTTACTACTTACTTAACCTTACTAACTATTAATAAGCAGCAAATTAGGAGTTTATTGAGGCAGAAGTCATAGTTAGTTAACAGTGAGAATTGATTCCCAAACTAAAGTGTGACCGCTGAAGTTGTTTCTAAGTTTAAATTTAATTATCACATGTTACGGTGCAAGTACATTAAGTAATTAGAAAATATGATTTTGCATGCATATACACTACTGTTTAAAAATCAGGAGTCAGTCATTTTTTTTTTAATAAATTAATACTCAGAAAGGATGCATTAAATTGATTAAGAGTGACAGTAAAGACTTGTATAATGTTGAACTGTATATTCATCAAAGAATCCTGAAAAAACAAAACCATTTTCAACATTGATAAAAATAATAAATGTTTCTCGATCATAAAATCAGCATATTAGAATATATGTCGGTCGACACTGAACACTTGAGTAATGGCTGTTGAAAATTCAGCTTTGCATCACAGGAATAAATTAGATTTAAAAATATATTCATATGGAATACAGTTATTTTAAACTGTAATTACAAATGCCTACTACACATCAGGGGTTTATATTCTCTATACAGGCTGTCTGTATTGGAAACAATGAAGTACTCAGAAATTTAAAACTAGGGGTTACAAATGCAAATATATATATAAAAAATAAACTATGAACATGAAAATAAGTACATGACTTTATAGCCTTTCATAGAATTCAGTGTTCATTATCTGAATGTAATTAATTAAAATAAAACAACAGTGTATAAAGATCTCATGCTGTTTTGAAGATGCATATTTAAAGAGGCATAAAAAGCTTTAGTAACACACATCTTTATATAGTGTACTCACGTGAGGACGTAGTTGACGCTGACGATGCAGTGTGGTCTGGACGATCTGCTGTTGTGTACGATAGTAGCGTAACTCTGTACCCACACCCACCCACCCTGCTTAGCCAGAAATCGGTAGTATTTGGTGGTGACTTGTCCTTTTACCAGCACTACAGAGAGAGAAACACACACAATCAATTAAAGAACATTTCTAATACTTTCACTTCACATACTCTTCTTTTGCAAAACAGAAAAAAAAACCCGATTCATTAATTTGTTTACTTTCATCAGCAACATTGTGATTTTTTTTAGTTGCTTTTACGTGTGGTTCATTTAATCTTTTTTATTCAGGAAAGCTAATTACTGCTTTCATTTGCATGTTTAAACCATAAACTGCCGTTTTTCTTTCAGCCTTAATAACTATTTATAGCAAATAATGTCAAATATTGTGTCTCTTAATAAGCTGCGTTGTGCTGCAATCAGGAATATGATAGATAAAACAATGTATAATTGATAACAGAAAATTGTGTTTTTAAGGACTAAACGTGTAGAAAAAAAATTATAATTTTCAATGCGGTTCACTAATTTAGTTACTAATTGATTGCATGTGTAATCTAAGCTCATGCTCATATCAGTATGTTGAGACTGGGAAATCATATTCATCTCCTGTAACGTGATATTATCAATTAGCACGCTCAGTTGTACCCTCGTGACGGTGAGCGATGTCAGTCATCACTAAAGCAGCTAGATGCTGTAAAGGAGACGTGGCCAGAGGAATGAGGAAAAACAAACCTAACTCACACAAGTGGTGCGCGCAGCGGAGATGGAAAGTGTCACAGCTGTGGACGTGGTGATAAAGTGTCTTCTCTATTAAGTCTTGCGGCTCGTAGCCAGTGAGCTCCGCAACCCTGACAAACACAGAACACAGAACGGAATAACAATGGTGTAGGCGTGAGCACAAACACCTGTCCACACACTGGCACGTGCAAGAACGGGACACATTTGGTTAAACGTAAGCCCAATGCGCAAATGTGTGACTCACTAAACACAGCTGCATATGGATAAAAAGCTGCATTTACACAATCATAGAGGCACACGTGCACAGACACACAGACAAGAAAGTCCTGTTTGTGTCATTTGGTGGTTTGAAAATACAATTTTACATTATATATGGCACAGATAATAACCATTTTGATATCCATGTTTAACTTTGAATTTTCAAATGCCAATGTTTTGTTCAAATTGTGATGCTGATAATATAATCTGCAACTAAAAAGTCGCAAAATGCAAAAAAGCATTTTCATTCATAGTCTCAGGCCTTTGGTCCCCATTGCCTATATTACCCTTAATAAAACTAGCAGCGCAGCAATATGTATAAGCGTATGAACACATGGTACCTGGAGTCCAGGAAAATGAGTTTCATGTCCAGGCTGGCTCTGAACATGAACATATTGCTGTGGAGCTTGATCTCGGTTACTGCGCTGGGGGGGAGAGAGTGACCAACAGCCATCAGACCCACGTTCTGATAACAGCCGTCAAACGGAGACATGTCTAAGCTGTACTGACGGACCTTCAGATAGCCGCTGCAGTGAATTACCTGTCGGAGATCACACACACATATGCATCTGTATTAGAGTTCACAGCAATTGTGATAAACTCTATGCTATCTTATATTATGGCTTACATGTAAATATTCTCTCTATATACAATGTAAGTTAGAAAAACCTGTAGGAATGCAGGTGGATCGCTTTCTGAACATTTGTCAATGCTGATGATTTAAAATACGCTGCCAAATGGCCACAATAGAAATAGATCTCCACTACACTATATAAGGAAAAAAAATTAAATACTGTATACAATAAATGTATTTTTATGCAGCTGTGGCGACTAACACCACACACATTAAAAAAAAAGGAATGAATGAAAATATAACCTGGTCTACCTTGTAACCAGCACACGTCAAGCCAGCGTTTCTTTTAGCAAGGACGCATTTCATTCTCAGGAAAAAAGACCTTTCCATTTCATATTCTAGAAAAAGAAGCAGAAGACGGTGAAGGAGCGGTTTAATGAATTGATTTGTGTGCAAAGGTGTTTAGTGGCTGTCTTACCTTGGACGAAGTGTGAATGATACGGCTGGTGAGCCGTCAGGACTGCGGTCATCTCGTCGTGGTCTGCGGGGTGGATGTATTCATAAATGCTGTTCCCCGTCAGCTCTACCTGTTAAAATGGACTTTTGTCATTGCAGTCAAAGCTGCCAGAAATAGTGGGATCTAGGCTGAATACAAATAGGCTAGAAATAAAAGCATTCAGCAGTAAATATGAAAATGTGCACTTTACCTGTGACAACCCTAAATGCACTGATGCAGTTTCAGAAATGTACATGATTTTTCCATCAGGAGCTACCACAAAAATGAAGCCATCCAAAGTCTAAAGTAATAAAAAAAAATTAATTAATGCATTTATTTACATTAATTAGTTCTTATATTATGAAAGCATCACTAGCTCTAAGAAATCAATTATTATTATTTTTATTTAATTTTTTTCATTGAAAGCACGATGTAATTCGGGTAGAGCTGAGGTAACATTCAACATCTGAATCAGGAGATAAAATTAAGCTTTCATATTCCATTATAACAATAAATAAAAAAATATAAATAGATGCAGGAAGCACTTAAAAAACAATGTAATCATTTAAATAAAATGTGAAACAAAATCTTCTCAAGAAACACAACAAATGACAAATATTTATATTTGAGACGGCCTAACGGTTATCGTGGAGCAGACCCACTAGCAATGCAAAATTGTAACTGTAAGACGAATTCTAAGTAGATCTATACGATCATTAAAAAAAGTTCTATAGAATAGTTTCAGAATTCGATTCCAGAATTAAACTATTTTAATTATTAGGCCTACATATAATAATAATAATAATAATAATAATAATAATAGGCAAGTACAGAATTTGAAAGTGTGTACCTGAAGCAGATGTGATCCTAACTCTCGGCCCACATTGTCCAGAGAACTCGCTCGACTCACATGGCCCCAAGACTCCCCGAGACCTGCGGAACGTATTCATTAAAAACACCTCAGCTTATCAGCTTAAAAATAAAAAAATGTGCGGGGAAAACGGACTTATTATGATGAGCCTTAAATATCTGACAATCCATCCGGGTGCTGAAAAGAGTAGCTAAAACCAGTCTTAGCGCATAGCCTAGCCTACATAAAATATCTCGAATTTGAAATTCGAATTGACGGAAAAAGCATATTAAAACTTACAACAACACACAAAAAAAAATAACTACAGCAAAAACAATAGTCTATCGTCATCTGACGACCAGTCAGTCAATATTTTACCACTGAACTGACTGTAAACACGCTGAATGTAAATGAGGAGTGTTTATGGTGGTCCCGTACAGGCGAGAAACTCGATAAAGCAAACAGTCTGACACACACAATCCTTATTGAAATGCAAATCACACGAAAACAAACATCAAAAGCGCTGATTCCACTTTAATATTAAACAAACATGGACTCCGCGTTTATCCAGCAGAAACAATCACATTACTGCTCAAACAGCTCACTGAAATATAACCACATTCTTCCAGAGCCGATAACCGCGCGGAAAAACCTTCCGTGGAAACATGTTTGACGGCGGTTTTTTTTTATTTATTTTTAAACTGGCAGATCATAAAAAAATTAATAAATAAATAAATAAAAAAAAACTTTCTCTTGCTGCTTTTAAAATTATAGCCTAAACAAATCAAATGTTTTAAGATTAAGATTCCGTGAAAGCTATAATTCATTCGACCACTCAGACTGTGCTTTCTAATTACAGCTTATGATACAAATATTTAGGTTTATTAAACGATGATGATGATAATAATAATAATAATAATAATAATAATATAAAACAACAATAATCAAAAATTGCCGAAACAGTAATAACTGCTCCCAACAACAATAATAATTGTTAGTGGGCGGAAAGCGCTTCTGAGGATCCTAATGCACGCCTGACCCAATGCCGATGGATCCGAAAAGAAAAGTTAATTCTGCTATTTCGCAGGGGAATTATGGGATCTGATTGGATCTGGATATCCGCGAGCTAATCACAGAACGAACTTTACATAGGCTAAGTAATAATAGTAAAGCACTTCACACAAAAGAATACATCATTGCATCTCTAGCGGAAATGTTTCAAACATTGCTTGCAAGACAAGAAAACTGAACTGAATAAAATAATTCTTCTGTTTCTACTGTATAAAGCTGTGAACCCGTTTCTTTAGGCGCTGCTGAGAACACTTATTTTCACAGGCCCGAAATGTATTCCGACACATAATGCCATTTATTCACACGAAATTACAAATATTCCTATTCTATTCTCTAATGTAAACGATCGTTATAAATAAGCTTCTGCCATTTTCGAATAACCGTAAAACAAGAGGAATCACTGATAATAATAATAGCTAATAAACAAAAATTCCAAATCTGAGCGAAACCCCGTAATAGCAGACTTACTAAAATAAACTCAACGAATAAAAACAGAAAACAACGCCTATCGCATAAAGTTGTAGGCTATTATTAAACTGGTACAATATTGGACTATTATTTGACAGCAGTGTCCGTCAGGCTTATTCTCTTCACAGCCCAGCAATAAATAACCACCATAAAACCAGCTTCACCTTCCTTCATTTTCTAATAAAACTTTACTGTCTCATTTCCTCCAGCACTACATGTGAGCTGTCTGTGCCGTGACCTCACTGACCTTTAACCCGGGCCAGCAGCTTCATTCACGTTTAAAAACATGTATTTACAATCTACTGAGTAAAGCACACGGTGCGGTCCTGAGGATGGTAACATGCTACACTTTAGTATCCATCCTACGGCTATTTGACCATATGCTTGTTTCCAATCCTGGCATATCCACACACTGCGAGCCGAATAATTACATCTAATTAACGCGGATATAAATGTATCAGTATCTGTAATGTATTAGGCTACTTTAATCATATTTCCCGCTTTCTCTTGATCTGTTATCAAAGACCGAGCCGTTTGATGAAAAGACGTTTTTAGGCTACAGCAGGTTTCAATGTTAATCAGTCATCAAATTAGAACTATTTATAACATGTAACATAGCCTACATCATGTATATCTAACAGTAAATAAGCCTATTAGGCCTATTAAAATTTAAGAGGGGAAAACCTAAACACAGAATACACAAAATAAATAAATAAAAAGAGTCGCGCGTGCATTGGTGAAAATGCAACTAAAAGGGGGACTGGCAAACTGTTTTACACACTTTAAAGTTGTCTTTTTTCTTGATATTAATATACTTGTCGCACACAAACGATCAGTTTAGCCTCCAGGATTTTGTAACTGATGAAATGTCGTGTTTAAATGTCTTAAACCCGTGCCGAGTGATGGCATATATCCACAAACCCACGATCCCTTTTTATTGTTCTGTTCTTTTTAATAATACCGGTAATTAATAATACCGGTAATAGTAATACTAGTTTCGTGTACGCACTGATGTCGTGTGTTTAAACGCGACAGTCAGGTATTGATCGGACGCTGATAATTGGCGTTATTATTTTTCAGTCACGCAGAGCAGAAGGTGGAAAATAACGCTAATAATCAGAACCATCATGATGTCCGAGTGTCGGGAACTACACTCGAATACACTCAGTCTCTTGCTTTAATGAAATTCACTTTTATATGTTTTTTTTTTTTTTTTTTTTAATCACGAAAGAATATTTATTTGTTGCTTTAAAAAAAAAAAAGAAAAGCGCCAGGCCGCAACGCCCATAATATTTTCGCGTCGTGTTTGCATTTTAAAAACGGACGGGCCTTCTAAAACTTGATTAAAACGTCTTAATTACTTTTATTAATACTGCGCTTTGGTGATGTATGTTGTTTGAGAATGATTTCGGTCCTATCTTTTCTGTAAATTATGTGCATGTTCCTATTGAAAAATGGTTGTTTTTAGGGCCTTTAAATGACACATAGCTACATGTCTAGATCAAAATACTAGTGAAATAAAAGAATCATTTTAAACAAATAATATATCAGTTTTAATAATAATAATAATATATTAATTATTAATATACAGCGCCAATACTACTAAAAACATCAGTCAATTTCTGTAAAGCTGCATGCTTTGAAACAATGTGTATTGTGAAAAGCGCTATACAAATACATTTGAATTGAATTAATAACAATAATATTTGCATTGCTATTATTAATAACATATTGTTTATTATTATTATTGCTGACAAGAACAATGCTAATGATGCTAGGCTTGCCAAAATTAATGAATGATTGACAGATACCGTGTGAACGCAGAAGATGCTGCATGGATAATGACTCACGCACCTTCTGGGAAGACGATCCTCATCTTCAGGTAGCTGGTGGTGAGTCTGATGATGGAGGCTTTGTCCAGCTGTGAGGTGATGGCCGAGGGCAGAGGCAGCAGTTTGGCCAGCTCATAGAACTCGCTGTTCTCCTTCTCCCGCCGCGTCCGCGCCGCGTTCTTCGACTTCTCCTTCATGCTCGCTGTCACTGACAGGTGTCTCAGACCCTTCTGCTGTGCGCTTCAATCTCTCCACAACACAAACTCAACCGCATGCGTGAGATATCTCGAGCAGTTTCACCAACATGGGAAGGTTTCAGAGACGTCCTGAAAGCGTTCCTGCCATCGCCAGTTCCCAGCAATTTACGGATGTTCCTGAGATGTCTTACACGCAGATGTGAGACGAACAGAGCTTCATGGTTATGATTAGCTTCTTTCATCCGCCGTGAGTCTTATTTTACACACACATGAAATCCACTCGGGCCCGGAATCTCTTCATACGGTAAGTTCCATCCATCAGACGCGCATATTCCTGGAAAACAGCAGAGCGCACGTTCATTTCTCTTCCGACTTTGAAATGCACGCTCTGATTTATGAAACTGGCTACCATATCAAAACCTATATTTACTACTACTAACTACTGACGTTTACGATCATGTTAATATAAACTACGCATTTTCTTTCTGCAAGTTTTCTTGATATCTGCTCCATCTATTCATGTTAGATGACATTGAACGTATTAGATTAAATTGCCATTATAATTTCATATTTTGCTTAAGTATAACTTTTCGATAGGTTGAAACTTGCACGTCTTCTTACCTCATATCAGACCACACTGCAAACTTGCATCGTCTTCACAAGTTCATAACTCCACAACGAGAAATATCCAGAGCTGCGTTCACGCGTTAATTCACGCCGAATTCCACAGCAAACTTGGCATCTTTGTATCCAGAAGGATCTTGTTTGGAGGGGAGTTTGTTGAAGTCTCTTTCTGTCAGAGCAGCAGACGGACCCTCCCCCTGAGCACAGCTCATTGGACACTGAAGGACCAGACGGGGTTTTCCCATTGGATCCCATTCACTAGCGGCCGCTCCATGTGAAATCCCGATTTGTTAGAAATGCTGACCCCTGACCCGTAACGCTCTATGAATAATATTTACATTTAAAGTTCACTGACTCTATCTATCTATCTGGGCAGCACAATTAATCGAATTTCTAATCGCGATTACAATTATGGATGCCACAATTACGTAATCGTTCAAAGCGGCAATTAATCGTTTCAATTAATGTTATTCTGCGTGCTTAAGATGCGTTTTTTCTTTCTTTCTACCTGTTACTTAAGGGTTTCCCCCATTATTTTAATTTTAGTTTTAGTATAGCATTATAATACCATTCATATTTGTACTTTTTTATAATTTAAAGAAGTAACCAATCAGTTGACATTTGAGGCTTAATACTATAGAAAAGCACTACAAGTGTTTCAGTTAGAGTGTTTCCAGCTTGTTTATTTTCATATAAAAATACGGCATGCAGTTGCACCAAACAATGGTATAAACATCATTCAATGTCAATTGTGATAATCATAAT